ATTTTCTTCACTCATCCCTGTTTGTCGAAATCTCTTAGCGTTGCACAAAGTACACAAATCCAAATCCCCTGACAAAGGCGAACACTCTCAGTAGAGCCACAATCATTACACTTAGTTCTGTTCATATTTATGTGGTTAGTACACCACAGAATAAACGCATAGTTTGATCTTCTCTGGAGAGCTCACCAACTCCGTGCGTGTTCCTAGTAGGTTACTTATAATGATTGGTTTTACTTTTTCAACTTCTTGTTGAAAACCACCAGTCTAATTGTTTTGATATTGAATATATAGGTACTTCAGGTGAACCTCTCTCAGATTTGTTCATTTTGTGATGATATCTTTATTTCTTTTATTTAGAGCGATATATTTTTGTAAATTTTGATAAAAAGTGATATTTTTGACTTCTTTTTGAAAACTGCAAATCCAATTGCTTTTGTTTGTAAATGTTGGTACCTCATGTTAACTGGTCTAAGATTTGTTCAGATTGTTATGAAATGTGCATTGCTAACAGCTAAGAGGCTGCTTGTTTTCGACCAAGGTTTTCAATGGTTGTGGTTGCCAGGAAAATGCCTGGATGTTCAATCTGAGAATAGAGAAGGGATCAGGTTTTCATTTGGTTAATTTGCCATTCAAAAAATAGCTGTATCTACTTGAATGGTCATCTATGTATAGTAAATATGTGATGAATTTGTAAAACATGAGGGTGACTTGTTCTCCTTATACTTTACAGTATCTCCAGAAAGTTTATATCTTGATGGTTACACTGATAATGGTAATGTTAACATGACATCTGGAAAATCATTTGCCATCACCTGTAGAACTACTAAAGCCCATCCTGCTGCCAGTATACAGTGGTATATAGATGATGATATAATTACCAGCAATGTTAACAGTAGAATATTATGGAATAGCGACGGTAGAAAAGACACAGTCAGTGAATTATCAATGATACCAAATAGGGGAGAATTTGGAAAGAAATTAAAATGTAAAAGTAACCATGATGTCCAGAATAATCCACAAACAATAATAGTTAATATTATTGTGCAATGTAAGTACATGTATAAGTAAATAGTATGAAAGAAGTGATGTGCATGTTGCAATCATTTTCATCTTAATTTTAAAGTACTAGATAAATTTAAAATATTGTTTTTCAGTTTGACTCAACATTTGATTTTCTAGGTGAATCGTTTTTTGGCTATTCACTACCGAAATCTTGATTCATCCGCCTGAATTGTGATGATGTACAATGTATCTACACATTCACAACATATTAAGATAACAATAAGATTTACATTATTGGGAGACTTTATAGTATATGCTATGTAAAATATCTATGTTTAGTTTTCATATTTATTTATATTCAACAGATTCTGCTGCAATTTTAAATGACACTTTGGATGAAAGTTCAGCAGATCAAGGTCAGAATGCTACAATTGTGTGTGAATCTATGGGATATCCAATACCAGATATAAAGTGGTACACATGGACTGATGGTAGTATAGTGGAACTTATGAATAGTGTGAACAAAATCATGATAAAACATGAACAATATGCAGTTAATAGAACAATACAAAGCACATTGTATATACTAAATGTGATACCTAAAGAAGACCATGGTGTATACACATGTCATGCTAGTAATATTATTGGTAGTGATAACTACAATATTACACTGGCTGGTAGAAGTAAGTATAATATTACGTACCAATTACCCGTTAATTAGAGATATATATCATGCTACACCACTGAGCTGAGGCATTTACCATTGGTGTCACACACAAAAAGTACATTCAGTGATAAAACTATGCACACAAGGATTATTTTTTTTAGTTGTCATTGGTCAACTACAGCTTGTCCACAGTTTGACTCTGAATAAGTGATTCTCCTTTCAACTGCGAAATCTCACAAAATGCGTGAAAGAATGTCTGCCACAAAAAGCGAATGATTCGATTTTGAATTTTGTTTTTTATAGCTACATGTACAAGAAAATGTGGGAGTGTTGATCTTAATGAAAGGAATAAGGCATTGCGATATCATCATTAAAATTGACCATCAAATGTGTATATAGCACATTATTGTGCATGGATTACCCTCAAAAATACCTTTGTGTTTGTCGATTCCAATGCAATGACACATATACAATGCTATGGCCTTTGTTTTAGTCCAGTTTTAGCATTTGATTTCACAAATATATCATACAGGATTTCACAATCAACAGAAAATTTATGGGTGATTATGTTAAAGTTAAACAATAACACATGCTTGTAAGCATAATATCACGATTTGTTGCCTGCCCAAGGGATGGTGGTCATGACCACACTATTGATGATGCCAGAGCCGAGGGCGAGGGCGAGAGCATCATCAATATTATGGTCATGACCAACCGCCCGAGGGCAGACAACAAACAGTGATATTGCCAGAATAACCACGTGTTATTTATTTTATCACATCGAACCAAAGACACTAGTGTCTTTGATCGAACAGACATCCACCATGACAATCACAGCTATCATACATCATTCACACCCGCTCTCCCACAAAATAACACTTAATATTTTATCTATTATAACAAGTTTCACATTACTCAATAACATACATACATTGTTTGCTGAAAAAAAAAACGAAATACATTCAGTAAATGTTATTTTCAGCAATGGATACTCTTTTTAGTTGAACCGTGTTTCAGCAGTGTGTATCACTCAAATTATCGAGAATAACATTTTTGAAATGAATTGAGAAATTCGCAAACGCAAGTTATTTGATCACTCTACAGATAAAAATGTCAAAGTGCCATGGAAATGAGTGAAATTACCTTTTCACGAACGTACCACACTTATTGACAAGCCACACAGCTTTGTTTAGAGCGTTTTTGGTTAGCATCGGCGTGGAATGCGTAGAAATGCTTACTGCGTAGAACGTGCTTCAGCGACCCCAGCTGCGACGTTTCAGTGGCGGCTTTGTCGTACATTTTTGCTCCATATAAAAAATACCCTATACATCAAAACAGAGTATCTTACTTAATATCCATTCTGGCACATTCACTGTTTATTTCGGATGGCTGAAGTTCCTTCAAAACCCAAAAGCAACCCCGAAAACAACAGCGGCCAGAACAGCATCAGTGCAGCAAACGTCATCCATGTGATATACTCATGTAATATCCACTTGGCGGACAATATACCATGTAATATCCATTTTTGACTCCCGTGTGCGAAGCACAAAAAGGGAGTCTTTGCAGTTAGTGTGTCTGTATGTGTGTGTGTGTGTGTGTGTGTGTGTGTGTGTGTGTGTGTATGTGTGTCCGTCTGTTCCACTGATATCTCAAGAACCATGCATCAGTTTTTGATGAAACTTGGTGTATAGATGCTCTGGGCCAATGCGCAGATTTGATTAGGTTTTGGTAAAAATCCATGCATATTAATTACCTAATTTGCATGATAATTAGCTGATTTTTAGCTGTTGCATGACTGTTCCACTGATATCTAAAGAACCACTCATTGGATTTTAATGAAACTTGGCACACAGATGCTCCGAACTAATGCACAGATTTGATTAGTTTTGGGTAAAAATCTGTCCAATATTAATTACCTAATTTGCATAATGATTAATCAATTTTCGGCTTTTCCACTGATATCTCAAGTACTAATCATCACATTTCAATAAAACTTGGTACATA